CTGCAAAGAGTTTTTTTTGGCTCTGACCTCTTGGCAGAGCAGCAGAGGCACAGGCTGGGAGAGGGTGCTGAGTGGCCAGGGGACTGGCGAAGGCAAGGGAGGAGCTGGGCAGGGGAGCAGAGGGCCAGGAGCAGTAGAGAGGAAGGGGCGGGGCCAGAGGGGCTGGGAGGGAGCAGGGGGCGGGGCCACGGGCCGGAGGGACTGATAAGGCATCGTCTCTTGTCTGCGTCCCTTGGCTGCGTCCCGGGCTGTCCGGAGACTCCCTTCCCTGGGACACAGGGGTTGGCTGGTTGGTTTTGTTTGTTTGTTTGTGCTGTGCTTTGTTTTTCTTCCAATTTAAATTTAAGTTTATTTTATCCTTGTGTGTGTGTGCGAGTGGTTTTCGTCTGGGAGAACAGCAGGACCCCCAGCCTGAGACGTCATGCGGCAAGGGGGCCGCTGCAGGAGAGGCGAGGGCCAGGGCCCGGCCACCCACCGCCCACTGAGGGGCACTGAGCCGGCGGTGTGCCGCCCCAACCTGGAGACAAGGGAGGTTTGCTGCCTGCCGGGCGCACGCATCCGGCATGTGAAGGACAGAGCGGAGCGTCTTGTTCACTCCGGGGGTCACCAGCCGCTCCTGGTGATCCATGTGGGCACAAACGACGTGGCCAGGCAGGGTGTGGTTGGGACCACCAGGGACTTTGAGGCCTTGGGGAAGAAACTCAGGGAGCTGAAGGCCCAAGTGGCCTTCTCATCAATCTTACCTGTCCGGGGATTTGGGCCAGGAAGGGACAGGGGCCCCCCCGAGGTGAACGACTGGCTTAGAGTGTGGTGCCAGAAGTAACGCTTCGGGTTCCTCGGCCACGGCTCCCGGTTTCTTGCCAATGGACTTCTGGCAAGGGACGGGTTACACCTCACGAGGATCGGAAAAAGGTCCTTTGGAGATGCTCTAGCGAGCTTCGTCCGGAAGACTTTAAACTGAGCCGGGGGGGGGGGTTCAGCCCCCCCAGGAACGTGTCTGCGCTGGACAAGTGTGGGGGGAGGATCAGGGCTCTGGGAGCAAGGTTTTAGAGGCACTGCAGGGACTGACAGGACTCCTTCAGAGAGGGGCCAGGAATCAGGGAGGATGGGAGGAAGGAGGAGGCCGGGAACTCCAAGGAAAGGAAGCGGTGGGAAAGAGTTGAGGTGCATGTACACCAATGCTAGCAGCATGGGTAACAAGCAGGAGGAGCTTGAAGCTCTCCTGGGAATAGGAGGGTATGATCTGGTGGGAATCACAGAAACTTGGTGGGATGAAAGGCAAGTCTGGAACGTGAACATAGAAGGGTATCACCTTTTGAGAAAGGACAGGAAGGGAAAGAGAGGTGGGGGCATGGCTTGATACGTCAGGGAAGGGATAGGATGCAGTGAGAGAGAATGCAGCACAGATGGGGATTCGGTAGAGGCAGTCTGGGTGAAACTTAGGGTTTTGACAGGGAAAGAGACCTGACAGTGGGGGTATGTTATCGCCCTCCAAGTCAACCTGAGACCCTGGATGATGTCCTGACAGACCAGATTCTAAGGATATCTCGGGGGAGAGACACAGTAATTATGGGAGATTTCAATCTCCCGGGTATTACTTGGAAGACTCACTTGGCGGTGACAGCCAGGTCACGTCGCTTCCAAGAAGCTATTGAGGGAGCATTTTTCACACAGAGGGTCCGAGAGGCAACGAGGGGGGAAATATCCTTGACTTGGTCTTGACCAATAGGAAGGAGCTGATAGATGAAGTACAGATTAGGGGAGCTCTGGATGCGAGTGATCACTCCATCCTTTGCTTTGAGATCAGGGGACTGGGGACGTGCAGCAGGTCGAGCACTAGAAGCTGGGACTTCAAGAGGGCCAGCTTTGGCCAACTGAAGGCCAGACTGGGGAAAGTCTCCTGGGATAGGTTACTGGAAGGTAAGCGAGTTGAGGAGGGGCGGATAGCACTCAAAAGGGAGGTTTTGGAGGCGCAAGCCTTGACGATACCTCTAGTCAGTAAGCTGGGGAGGCAGCGGAGAGTGCTGCCATGGATGGGAAAGGAGGTGGTTAGAGGGATTAGATGAAAGAGGGACCTCCCTAGGAAATGGGTACTGGGGGAAATAGACAAAAGGGTATACCAGGAGGAGGAGGCCTGTTGCAGAAGGATTCTTCACAAGGCTAAGGCTGATTACGAGCTGAGACTTGCCAAGAATATCAAGAGCAACAAAAAGGGTTTCTTTCAGCATGTAAATAGGAAGAGGAAGGGGAGACAAGTGGTGGGACCACTAAATAAGGAGGAAGGAGATCCAGTGACTGATATGAGGGAACAGGCACAGATGCTAAATGACTATTTTGCCTCTGTGTTCTCCCCAAAGCAGGACGGGGGATATCCGCATAGGAGATTAGATGAGGCCGGGGACTTAGGGGCACAGACTAGAGTCACCCCTCTTGAAGTCGAGGGGCTCCTCAGGGCATTGGACATTACAAAGGCACCAGGCCCTGACGGGTTACACCCGAGAGTACTTAGAGAGTTGGCAGGGCTTCTCTCACCCCCGCTGGTCTCCATTTTTGAGACCTCGTGGAGAACGGGTGAAGTTCCAGAGGACTGGAGGGTGGCATCTGTGGTCCCAATTTTCAAAAAGGGTAGTAGAAAGGACATGGGGAATTATAGACCGGTTAGCCTTACATCCATTGTAGGAAAAACAATGGAATGGCTCATAATAGAGAGAAATCTAGTGATGCTAGATAGGGAAGGGAGGCTGACAGCCACACAACATGGCTTCCGCAAAAACAGGTCCTGCCAGACAAACCTTGTGGAATTCTATGACAAGGTTTCGAGATGGCTAGATGGAGGGGATGCAGTGGATGCGCTATACCTGGATTTCAGCAAGGCCTTTGACAAAGTGCCCCATGATATCCTGGTGGAGAAACTGAGGAGTTTTGGGATACACCAAAGCACTGTCCGGTGGATTAGGGCATGGTTGACTGACCGAAAGCAGAAGGTAACCATTAGCGGGGAATCATCGGGATGGCGGCCAGTGACAAGCAGGGTCCCCCAGGGCTCTGTCCTGGGGCTGATCCTGTTTAATCTTTTCATTAACAACATGGAAGAAGGGGTGAACAGTCTGCTGATCAAATTCGCAGACGACACTAAAACTGGAGCAGTGGCCACAACTGAGGAGCAGGTACTCCAGATCCAAAAGGATCTGGACAGACTATGGAAGTGGGCAGGAGACAACAGGATGGTGTTCAATGTGGATAAGTGCAAGGTCTTGCACTTGGGGCATTGGAATAGCTGCCATAAGTACAGGTTAGGTGACAAGTGGCTGGAGAGCAGCACTTGTGAAAGGGACCTCGGGGTACTGGTTGACTGCAGGCTAAACATGAGTCAGCAGTGTGATGCGGTGGTCAAGAGGGCAAACGCCACCCTTGGTTGCATAGCCAGAAGTGTGGCTTCTAGATCCAGAGAGGTATTACTACCACTCTGTATGAATCTGGTACACCCACAACTGGAGTATTGTGTTCAGTTTTGGGCCCCTCGTTACAGAAAGGATATAGCCAGGTTGGAGTCAGTGCAGCATAGGGCCACAAGGTTGGTGACGGGTTTGCAGGGGATGCTGTATGAGGCGAGACTGAGAGAACTGGGTCTCTTCAGCCTGGAGAAGAGGAGACTCAGAAAGGATATGTTGGTGACATACAGGTATGTGAGGGGATGTCACATGGAGATGGGTAGAGACCTGTTCTCCCCTGCAGAGGAAGGCAGGACACGCTCCAACGGAGCAAAGCTCAGGGAGCTAAGGTTCCATTTGGATGCCAGGAAGCACTTCCTGACAGTCAGGACCCCGAGGGTGTGGAATGGGCTTCCACGGGAGGTCGTTGAGGCCCCATCGGTGCAGGTGTTCAAGGACAGGCTGGACATGCACATGGTGGTCATGTCATGAGCGGAGCCGGCTGGTGCCGGAGGTCAGACTAGATGGCCCGGGAGACCCCTTCTGACTCGCTCTGTTTCTATGTTTCTATGCCTGGAGCAAGAGTTTCTCTGCTTCTACAAAAAAGCAGAAGACCTTTCCTATCTTTGCAGGCCCCCTGCCTGGTGGAATGGAGGGACTTGGCCTGTTACTCCACAAGATTTTACTGCTGCCTCTGACTGAACATGTGAAATGAACAAGGAGTTAATCGCTATCCCATGCCCAGTAACTGCTAATCGACAGACATGAAACACTGCTTTGATATGGAGGCCATGTCTCTGGCCAACATGGGCTTCTCTGGATACTGGATAAGGTACGAAGGCATATCAGAAAGCCATCCTGCTGAAGGTAACCAGGCTTGGTGCCTGGCAGAGAGGCTACCCGGACCATCTTTGGATGCCTCCCTTGTTACCATCATGGAAGGAAGACAGGATCCCAACGTAACATATACGTACGAACGGACGGACCCTTCACAGTCTCTTTCAAAGCCATGGGATCACCTCTGTTGGTGGCAGCGGAGTTCCTAAGCAAGCCCTAAGCAATTTTGCAGCATGGGAAAAGGTGCATCTTTCTGCCCTTTCTAAATCAACTGCCCATCGGCTCCACTGAACAGCTCTGAGTTCTAATACTTTGAGAGGGAGTCAATCATTTCTTGCTCTCTTCTACCACAATCATTCCACAACTTAAACCTTCATTTGAAATCATGGCAGGGAGCAAAGGATCTGCGTGTGTGTGTGTGTGTGTGTGGAGGGGGTGCAGTTACTAATAATGAATTTGCCCACTAAAAGAAACAAAATCACACTTAGAACGGGTATGAAAGCATTCTTTTCAAAACTCTGCCTCTTCCAGGTAAAAAGAAAGCGACTTCCAGATGCAGATATGTAAATGAAAAGGGGGGTGCCAAAAATATAAAACCCACAAAGGACAGCGGGGGGGGGGGGGGGGGGGAGAGAAAGTCTATTGTAGATTTCATGGGGCTCGAATGGGAGAGAAAACTGTTTTCCATATTTATTTAACCTTTGCCTCTGCCAGCATCGCATCCAGACTTACCTGCAGTTGGAGCGGGCCTAAGCCGGGACTTGCTGCAGCTGCAGCTGCCATGGTTGTCGGGATCAGCTGAACAGGGTAAGGGTCACCTAAGTAAGAGAATAATAGAGGCGTCAGCACCTTTTATCTACTCTCCACCTGCAAATTAAACTCCTGCATTCACTCTTTCCAAAAGCCTTCTTTTGTGTGCCTTGCTGAGGCCTAATGAAAAGCTCTATTGTGCAGCCTTTTTACTAACACTCTTCACAATTCTGGCTGAGAGAGGAATGTGTATAAAAAGCACAAGCAATTAAGGCGGAAACCTCATCCTTTTTCATGATGTATTTAGGGAAATGGGGAAGGGGGGGAAGTGCACATTGATCAGAGGGCTGAGCTTCAAAAATAAAAAGAAAAGAAAAGGAGTGAAAAGAAAGAACAAATCCAACACAACTCTGAAAGAGAAAGAAAAGGAAAAAGGAAAACAGCACAACCTTGATAAGATCATGACACTTGATGCAGACAAATTTACAAGCCGTTCAAGGTAGTGACTTAAGTAGATGGATCTCACTCTGAGGAACGCCAGTTATTTGGGCTCTGCTCTTCGCTGCTTCACACGTGGAACTAGGGGGTACTCCTGCATAGCAGTGTCCTCTACGCACAGTAAGTCACACCAAAGACTCACACCTACATTCTCCCCATCCACCAAGATGGTGTGTCCTATAACATGTTCATTTAGGGTGCAGTCTTACGGCCTCCCAGCATTGTAGCCTTCTTCACAACCTGAGCCTGAAGGACCTCCAGCCTTGATGCTTGGCCTCCAAAAGCTAAGCCCCGTCCCACAGCCCGGCGGCTAAGACAGAAAGAACCTCATTGGCAGCATGCTGCCTTGGAGGTCGCAGCCAGACCTTGGAAGGGGAAAAAAGAGGCTGCTTGTAGGGCAGGGAGGCAGATGGCTAGGGCCGCAGACTTCTGCCAGTTCCAGCTGGTGCCCCAGCCTCCTTTCCCCATGGCCGTTTCTCGAGAGAATCCCTGGAGGGAGCTGCAAATAGTTCCCACAATGTCTTCTTCCAAGCAGAAGATGCTTCTAAGCCTCAAGTTCAGAGGTCTATATGCACCTGGGTGGTAGAACTGCGCCCTTAATAGCTTGCCTTGCACAAGATCATGAAGACAGTGTCTCAGTAACATTTGCTGTAAAAACCCATTTCAGAAAGTTTATATTTGATGCAGAACTAGCCATGCTTGGTTTCAGGTACTACTGTGTTCAGATACTAGCTTCTCTGGTTGGGGTGGTGGTGGCAGGGATACCCCATCCACGGAACTGACCATCAGCAGAGAGATACAGGGTCCCAGAGTTCATGCCTTCATGATCAACACTTCTGCTGTTATACAAGTGTTTACCTGCCGGTGTGCTGATTTGGTAGGTAATTCCTTGTCTATTAGCATCTGAAAAAAGTGTGCTAATGAACTGCCTGCAGGAATTTGCTTAAAAACGCACATAACATCTTGTATGCATGAGATTTCACAGTGGATCTGGTTCTACTTGGACAGGAAGAGATGAACCCGAGTCCATTTTGAATGTTCATAATTCTGTTCTTTTTTACCTCTGTATTAACATACATTTAAAAAATTCATATAAAATGTACTTTTCAGTCAAAAGATTAATTGTGTAAATGTAAGAGCCACATCTAAATATATGTTTTGAAACACTAAACACATATTCATATTTATGAATGTATTTCATTGCAAAGTGCACCTTTCTAAATGTATGTTATCAAACATAAAATGCACTTTTAAAATGCATTGTGGCATGCTTTTTTGAGAGGACTGCATTGTAAAATTTGTTGAAGTGCAAAATTGGAAAGATAATTATGTTCCCATCCAAGCATTACCTTGGGAGGTTAGAATTAGAATTGGCAAAGATCATCTTCAGCAAGTATCTCTGAACTTGGTTATATGGCTTCCTTGATTAGATGTTAGATTGATTTCTATGGTTGGCAGGTCCATTTCTGCACTCATGCTACTGAGGCTTTGAAATGGGAAGGCTTTGAAATGGGTTGGCTTCCAAACCAACCACCTTTGGTCTGGAAATAAGAACCTTTGTATGATCTAAACCCAAATCCCTCCGAACATCAGCTGAGCTCATGTATTCAGAGATTGCTCTTTTCTTATGCTAGCAGCAGAGGCAACGGGACAAAGCAGCAGGTCCTGGACTTTTACGAAGGCCAAAACTTTACCAACAGCAAGTTCCAAGTGCAAGGATCCCAGAGAAGCTATTGTACTTTGCTTCTTGGACCTTAACAAGGATTCTTAAATTGAGGGCTTTGTGCGACATTCTCCACGGAGCATTTCTGTGACATTGGTGTATATGCGGTGAAGAACAACTGGGGTAGAGAACTTCTGATATTTGGGCAAGGAGTGGGGAGGTCACACATAATACCAGCTAGAGCTTTCACCATTTTAAACTTTACTCCTTATTCCCTTTTGAACATGTTTTGCTGGGGAACATAAACTGGCTTCATGATTTTCAGGGCAAGGAGGCCACAGCAGGGACAATGATATGCAAGTGTTTTCCCTATCATGAAAATGCACATTTTTAAATACATACACCGCAAATGCACACTTTTCCTTCATGTGGATTCTGCAAGAGTGCAAATTGGAATTCAAGTAAGGAAACATGTAAGCATCATCTGAGAACTACACTCAAGCTCATGTCCTGGGTTGAAACGAGACATGTTCACATGAACTAACTTCTGCTATGTCCCTATGCAAGATCAGTCTTGAAGCAGCTCCACTGGCTTTTTAGATATTCCTGAGCCTGATTCAAGATGCTGTTTCTATGAAGCCCTAAATGCCTGAGGGTAGGTTTCTGAAAGATTCCCTCCTTCATATGGAGTTGTTTCTCCATGCTCTGAGTTCCTGCTATGTGGCTCACCTTCTGGGGAAGTCTGTGAGGACTCATGACAAGGACTTTTCTCCAGCAAAAACCCTCTTGTGGAATTCCCTTGCTATTAGGTTGGAGCCCTCTTTATTGGTCTTTAGTTCACTAGTAATTGATCTTCCTGGCTTCCAGTGATTCGGGCAACTCTTTGCTTTCCGAGGGTTCCTTTGTTTTGGTGTAACATGGAATATTTTTATCTGCCTTGTTATTTTTTTCCTTTTGCATTTTATGGTTTCATTGCAGATTGCCTCAAGTGCTCATGAACAAAGGGGCAATTGAAAAAATACTTTAAAGAAATAATACATACATTTCAAAGAACTCATGGGGGTATAGGAAACAGAAAGAGCCCAGCTGTTTGTTCTTGTCCCTTATGTGTGCATGCAAAAGGTGCAAAGGTGGCAGTCCCTTTGCTTTTAAAAAGGGACTGTCCCGTCTGGCTAACGTCCCCATAATTACAGTGGTACCTCGGTTCACAAACTTAATTCGTTCCATGATTCTGGTCATGAACTGAATTGGTCGCGAACTGAATCAAATTTCCCCATAAGGTTCAATGTAACTAAGGTTACATTGAACCTTATGTACATTTTTTTTAACCACAAAAATATGAAACAAAGTACAGTACAGTATGAAGAGAGAGAACACTAGTCTTGCTTGAGGCGACTTCTGGCGTGGAGGACAGGAAGGTGGGTGGGAAGGAGGTTACTGTTTGGAGGGAGCGTCTGCGACCGCGATCTTGACTAGAGGAAGCCGCGGCCACATGTCAGAGCAGGGAAGATGGCCGTGATCGCGTTTGTCACCCGATGCGGAGTTTGCGAACGGAAGCAAAATTTTGCCAAACTTTCTGTCCGCGAACCGAATTGTTCTGTACCATGCAATACATTGAAGAAGAACCATTTGCAGTAACGCTCTTCAAAATTGCTGGCTCCTCCCCTGCACCCAGCCCTCCCATTTAATTCTGAATTTATATTTACATTAAAAAACGATCCTTGGAGCTTCGTAAATTTTACCCACCCCCTCTCGACACATGCGTTGGTGACTTCCCGTCTGGACTTCTGTAACGCGCTCTACGTGGGGCTACCCTTGAAGACGGTCCGGATACTTCAATTGGTCCAAAATAGAGCTGCCAGGCTGCTGACGGGGACTGGACGTTATGTTCACATGACTCCAGTCCTCCGTCAGCTTCACTGGCTTCCCATTGAAGTCCGGGCCCAATTCAAGGTGTTGGTGATGACCTATAAAGCCCTAAATGGCTTGGGTCCTGGTTACCTGAAGGAGCGCTTACATCCTTATATGCCCAGCCGCCCCCTGAGATCGGCGGGAGAGGCCCTTCTCCGGGAGCCCTCCATGGAAGAAGTTAGGAGGGTGGTTACTCAGAGGAGGGCTTTCTCAGCGGTGGCGCCTAAGTTATGGAATGCGCTCCCCAGAGAGGTCCGCCTGGCACCGTCGTTATTTGTTTTTCGGCGCCAGGCGAAGACCTTTTTATTTAAGCAGTATTTTAAATGTTAATATTATTGAATTTTATTTGGCCAGGGCGGCTTGTTTTATAGTGTATGTTTTATATTATATATTTGGATTTTATTGTATATATTTTAAAATGTTATTTTAATTTTTTGTTGTAAGCCGCCCCGAGGCTTCGGCGAATGGGGCGGCATAAAAATGTTTTAATAAAATAAATAAATAAAAACATGAACTGCTGTTCCCAATATCCCCTTTTGTTCTTGCCTAGAAAATAAAGGAAGAAGTTGCGAACACCTAGAGTTGCCGTTAACACAGATGTGTTGTGCCTTTCTATATTCCTGGCTGCTCTAAATGACAACATGTTTAAAAAGCTTTCCACACCATTAATAAAGATCATTGGAGCATTTGTGCATGGCCCAATGATGTGCTAACAGAAATTACTGGCCCAGCAAAGTCTCCGGAAACAAGACTTACAATGGCGCACGTTCATTAGAAAGGCGCAAAGCAAGGTCATGGTACATTTGATTAAACGGAAGCGGTAAGTCTCCCTTCTAGACCCTGCTTTCCCCTGGCTAATAGAGGGAAAATATGCATGCACGCATCTATATGGGGCTGTATATCTGAAGGCCGCATCTCAAGAACATGCTGCCCTGCTGCTAATTATCAGGGTTAGTTGTTTGCTGTACTTTTCTACCAAAAGAGATGAAAGATGCT